GCCTCCCGTCCCTCTCCTGTTGCCGCGGTGAAGCGGAGGGAACGTCTGGTACGTTGCTGAGCTTCGTTTAACCCCTGCTGCACAGGTTGTTTACGTGAGGTCAACCCTGTTGGACTCTCCACCGGGCTTGCCGGGTGTCCCGGAGCATCGTCGGCTCCCCAGGGCGGTGCTGGCGGAAGAGCTCGTGTTGTCGTCACCTTTTGCACGAGGTGTTGAGGAAGGGCGGTGGGAAGTGCTGGCGGGTGACCCAGAACGTCTGCAGCTAGCTCCAGTCGAGTGACTGCGCAGCAGAAAGGGCAGGAAACGTGCCAGTTCCTCGCTAGCAGAAATGGTGCTTCACAGACCACCCTCGTGAATGTGCCGAAGTAGAAGATGATGATCAGTGATTGGATGATTAGGCTATGTTTATGTGTGTGTCTGAACCTTCTAGAAAACCGGAGTTACTGATGTTGAGTGCTACATAGTAAACTAAACTGTGTTGTCTCTAGCATGTGATGTGTCTTTGTCAAAGCGGATTTCCGGAGAACTTGCTTGTCGTAACATAAGCTACTACATATGCATCAGTGTTTATGAGTAACTGAGTGGTTTTCTGATGCTGTAGTAACTTGTAAAAGATGTGGAAACATAGCCCTGTGAGAAGGGGGAGTATGACCCTTTCCCTTAGCGTGCCACTCCTGTAGCACAGTCTGTGCTGTGAGCAAGATCATTTGCTGTGAGGAGCAGAGTCCAGGCAGACTGGCTTTCCAGTGCTGAGCCCAGCCTGAGTAGTCTTGTCTAAACCATGTTCCTTCTTCTGGATCCTGGTAGCTTGGACTCCATTGACTGTTTTTTGTTGCCCTGCCTTAATTTTAGCTCTAATTCTAAGCCGTATGTTGCTCATGCTGCAGGTTGTCACCTGTGGAAGAAACTACCTTTTAACTTCTGTGGATTGCCAAGTTAGTAGCTCTCCACCAATTTGTGTGTCGGTAGCCTAGAAGTGAATCAGTAATGCCAGTTTCTTCGTAGGAATAAAGAAATGCAGGATGATTTTGATCTGATAAGTGAAGTCTTACAATTGCTTAATCATTGTCAGGTGGAAAAAGGATTAGCTCTGGATTTGAGTCTGGAGTCATATGTGACTTAAGTGCTAAGCTTATTGCTTGCTAAATGGTGCGTTTTTGTGTGTGTGTATAGTAGCTGTGTTTAAAGTCTGCCACATCCCTGATGTTGCTGTTCATGATGGAACATCAGAACCTTGAAACTGCTTCGCTGAGAGTAGCTGAAAAGGGAAGGGAGGGGGAATTGTTTCAGGGACAGGTGACAGCTTAAACCTGAAGGTGGCAGCAGTTACAAGCCGCACCAGATAATGCGTAAACACATCTGGGAGTGTGGCACGGGGGAGGAAGGAGGCTGTTATTTAGATTAGTTCTAAATTGAGTTCAGCTGCAGTTGAGGTAGATTTGTAGAAACTCTTAAAATTCAGTTGTAGTTTGTCAAACAGGCATGATGTTTTGAAAAGTCTAAATCTTGACACTGCTTTCAAACAAGATGTTGACCAGCGGAAATAGTGTCCTGTGAAAACTAGTAGGATGGAGTGTAAAAATCTTAGATGTAAATTATGAAACAGCATAGTGAGTAGGAGGAGAAATGTATTTCCTGCTTCTGTGGAAAGGCTTTCTTTCAATAGATGTTAATGACCATACTCTTCCTAGTCCATTACCCTTAAAAATGTTTGCAAAGTATTCTGCGATGCTGCTTGAACATCACTGTTAAATGCTGTATCCTTACTTTAGTAGACTTTTAAGTAGGATTTTAGGTAAATACAAGTCTGTTTTGTTTAAAGGGTTGGTAAGCCTTGCCTCTGGCCTTGTTTTTGGAGTGAGCTCACGTACTGAATTTGGTCTGTAGAATGCTGTGGCCTGGGAAGGCTTGAAGCCACTGTGAGCTGAGGAAGAAAAATAAGGATAGAATATGGTGAAAATGAAACACAGCATCGACCCCCCTCCCTCCTTCTGATACCTGGTAATACTACACAACTTCTTTAACAGCTGCACTGTGATGTGCTTTCTGCTAAGCATTTAGCTGCTAAAGTGGCTTGAGGATTTGATCCATAGCAAGGATCTTAATTTCTATAATGGAAGAATGTTAGACTGAGAAGTCTGTGTCATGGTGTTTACTGTCAGGAAGCTCTTAAATACCTCTGGCTGGTGTATGGCGCATTATGTAGCGTCACAACGTTAGTAGTGGTTAAAATAATTTATTTTGCTAGTTAGAAGAACTTATCTGCTGACTTGTGTTACAACCTTCCTTACCCTTGCTATACTCCATAAGGGAGGGAACTAGTGTAATTCTATGATGTTTTTCACAACTAGATATTCTAGTAATGGTCTGATGTTTAAGTTTCTTGCAATGATGAGGTAGGAGTTAGTGCTGGCCTGTGAGGACTTGGTTTTCCTATTGAGATGCACAAGGAATGGATTAAATTCCTGTCCAGTTGTCTGGTCTAAGGACAATCTTCTCTAAGGTAAATGGGGTACAAGGTTGCTGGCTTCAGTTGCCTTGTATTTCTGTGGGTGGCTTGTGTTGGGTCTGACCTTGCATGCTTGGTTTCTTTACAGACTTGCTACTAGTCTTGGCATTGATATCGGCCTGATGTGGTCTGCTGTGAACAGCGCTGCTCTGTAACTCTGTAGTCAAGAAATAATGTCACCTTCTGTGATCCGCGTCTCAGGGGTACAGTTTTCAGGCCTGCTGCACCGTTCTTACCTCAGTAACTAAAGGATCAAGATAGTCGGCTTCAGTAAAACACTGTTTATCCTTGTATTTCAACTTCTTAGTTTTTGTTTCCCCCCTCCAAAAAGTGCATGTGCTGACACCTCTGCAAGCCTGAGGAGGTGGCCTTAAGTACAGCTCACGAATGTTTGGAGGAAGCATCCTTGTATGAGAGGCTGTTTGGGGAACTTTATACCTTTTGTTAATGTTTTTCCTCTAAACGTTTTCCTTTTAATTATTTATGTAGTTCAATGTTCTGCATTCTGCACTCGGTTCCAGGGTTGGCTTGTGAATAGCTCAGGGCTCTCCATTTTAGAATTCTCATAAAATATGAGAATTTTAATGCAGCTTTAATAGTGGTAAGCCAAAGAATGAAAAATCTTTGCAGCTGCTCTGGTGAATTTCTAAACCTGTGAGAATTAAGGATCTAGTCTATCCTGCTGTGAAGAGGGGAATGCGGCTTGTTCCCAATATTTGGCTAATGATAAGTAAGATAATCTCAAAAATCGGTGGAAGTGACTGGTTAAAAGTGGGAAGCTTGCCTGTTGAGGGATGAGCCACTTGTATTAAAATATACTTTTCTATAGAGGAAAGAAATAGTGACTGTGGAGAGTAAAGCCAGTATGTTGTTTGGCCTCAAGTCTGAGACAAGTAAGAATGTGTCCATGTCAAACTATGGTGCAAACACGCTGTTAAAACACAAAGGGTGAAACTTCTTGCTACTTCTGAAGAATGAGTGCAGTTTTGGAGTTTACAAGGTGGAGTTCATAATAAAAAGCTGCATGAGGAACTGCTAGAAACTTGTCTGCACAGTACTCTCTTGTTGCTGGCAGGTGCCGTAGGCTCTCAGGGAGGCTGGTCTGAGAAGGCTGGGAGCAGTGGTAGGAGAGCCAGAGTTGTGAGGCCTAAAAGGGGCCTGGGAGGTGTTTGGCAGACACAAAACCAAAATAGTGAGATCTTGTGCCAGCTCTTAACCCTTCACTGGAAGAAACTTGTGTCGGCAGGGGAAATTCTGTGAGAAATGAGCATCTGCCTGGAATGCTGCTGACCCCTCCTTTCCAGACCCTGTTCCATTGCTGTCAGACTGATGTGCTGGGATGAGAAAACTTAGTTTTTCCCTGGTTGCTAGGAAGCCTTGAGCTGACTGCTGCAAATTCACCACTCTATAATCTGATAATTCAGAGGTGTTATTCTGACACGCTTTGCTTTCATGAAATCAATACAAGCGGCAGCTGAATCTAAAAGGGGTAGGAATAGATTGTTTCCTCCTTTGCTCCCTTGTGTAGGGAGCTAGGTGTATTGGAATGTGTCTCAGCTCTTTTTAATAAGATTCATCCCTTAGTGGGGGAGGCAGTAAGGTTTCTTGTGTGCTCACAAACAGAGAAAGATTTTTTTGTTTTTATTTTGAGGTGAATGCTGATTTGAGGACT